ATTTATTTTTATTTGTTCTTCTTAGTTATACTTCTGAGTTTCCTCCATATACTACCAGGCTCTTTTAAACACTTAAAAACTTGCTATTTCTTATTTAACAACATGCATGTCAATAATGATCATTAAAAAAATTAAAAAGTTTGGTTCTATACTACTAATAATAAATGTTGGTGAGGATGTGGGGGAAAAGGTACATTCATACATTGTTGATGGGACTACAAATTAGTGCAACCACTCTGTAAAGCAGTATGGAGATTCCTCAAAATTTAGGAAGGGAACCACAATATGACTCAGCTATCCCATTCCTCAGTATACATCCAGAAGATCTAAAATCAATATACTATAGGAATGCAGCCACATCAATGTTTATAGCAGCACAATTCACAATTGCCAACCTATAGAGCCTATCTTGGTACCTGTTGATAGATGAATGGATAAGGAAAATATGGTATTACTCAGTCATAAAGAATAATGAAACTATGACATTTGCTGGTAAATGGATGGAAATGGAGAAAATAATTCTAAGTGAAATAAGACAGAATCAAAAATTAAAGAGTCATATACTTTCTCATATGCAGAAACTAAAACAAAAGAAGAAAATAAAGAAAAAGAAGGTGACCCATGAAGATGGAGTAGAGAAAGGGGGTTGAGGGGGAGGGAGGAGCGATGGGATAAGGGCAGAACAGTGGAATGAATCTGACCCAGCTTTCCTATATACATACATGAATATACCACAGTGAATCTCACGTTCATATATATTCACAAGGTATTAATTTAAAAACAAACATATATAAATAGCAGAAAGATCAGTAAAGAGTAGAGGAAAGGGAATAGGGAAAGGGAGGAGAAGAGGGTAAGGGAAAGTACTGGGGAATGATATTGGAACAAATTATATTCCATGCATGTACAATTATGTCAAAATTAACTCTAATATTATGTATAACTACAGTACACTAATAAAAATACATTTGTGCCTTTTGGTTAATATAAACACTGTCTTAATTTGGAAACAAATGGAAACAAACTGTGGTCTAGAGATGCAAGCTTATATGTTATGTATATATTCAGCTTTATTAGATTCCACCAAATACTTTTCCCAAAACTTTATGAAGTTATACTCTTTTTGGTTTTGGGAGGGAGCAGGGTATTGGTGATTGAACTCAGGGTCACTCAACCACTGAGCTAGTTCCCCAGCCCTATTTTGTATTTTATTTAGAGACAGAGTCTCAATGAGTTGCTTAGGGCCTCACTTTGGCTGAGGCTGGGTTTGAACTCACAATCTCCCTGCCTCAGCCTCCGGAGCTGCTGGGTTACAGGTGTGCACCACCACACCTATACTCCTATCAGTACATCATGACAGCACATATTTGTTCTGCATCCTCACCAATATGTGATGTTTTCTGTCTTTTTCATTTTGATTATTTCAGTGAGTGAATAGTAATGCACTTTGGATTTTAATTTGCATTTTCTGCTAATGTAATTGGTTACTGTGTGTGTGTGTGTGTGTGTGTGTGTGTGTGTGTGTGTGTGTGTGAGAGAGAGAGAGACAGAGAGAGAGAGAGAGAGAGAGANAGAGAGAGAGAGAGAGAGAGAGAGAGAGAGAGAAAGTATTGTATAAGGTACAATCTCTACCACTTTAAAGACCATAAAGATATTTTATTATGTTTTCTTCTAAAATCTTTACCATTTTCCCTTTCACCCTTTTACATTTAGATCTACAAATCCATCTGGAATTTATTTCTGTGCATGATGTGAAATAAGAATCAAATGTCTCTTTTCTATTCTGTCCCATCAGTGTATACATCTGTCTTTGCAACAATACCTTGTCTGAATTATTATTGCTTTAAAATAGTTGTAGATAATTGATACTGGATTATATTTGCCTGAAAATTCTCTGGCTTTATTCTTGCATTGTTTTCTTCCTGTTTATTGTGCTTTGTGTTTGCATGCTTTGTCTTTGAATTAATAATTTTCATCAGTTTTAAAATGATTTGCATTAACTAGTTAATGATTGTTTTGCTCCTTTCTCTGCCTGTGGTCCTTCTATAAAATCACTCATTTCAATTTATTTTGCTATGTCCTACGTGCTTCTTACTCTTTTCTTTATTTTGTTTTTCTGTGCTTCAATTGTGCTATTTTTTCATTTACTCATTTTCCAGGTATCTAACATTGTTTTCTGCTTGTTAATCTATGTATTAAATCTGAATTTTAAATATTATACTTTTCTATAAGTAATTTTCAATTTATTCTTCTTATAGATTTCAATTTTCACCTGAAATGGTCTATCTTTTTTCTCCTCTATTCATTTTTTCCTCTTTTTCTTCTTGAACATATTAGCCAAACATTTTAAAGTCTTTTTCTATAAACTGCATGTTTTTTTTTTATATTTTGTGTTCTTGCTTATAAATCTTGGTTTTAGGTCATATGGCCATGCTTTTTCATATGACTCACAATTTTTTTTAAATTAAATTCCAAACATTGCATGTAAAACTGTAAAACTCAGATAGAAGCCTCTCTTCTGAGGCTTCATTCCTTCCTTGATATGTGTGAAAATTTCACCTTAATCTCATATGGGACTGAGCTGGATTATAGTTTTGCTTAAATCCATTGTGTCCCTATTGTTCCCTTGTAACTACGACATAGCTCCCAAGGTTTTAAACTGACAACCTGCCACATATTTCTGTTTACCATTGAGAAACTGTGGGAAAGGCAACTCTGCTTTTCAATGCTTTCTTTTCATGTTGAATTATGGCCTCATGCTCTGTTAATGGAGTCAAACTGAATCCAAGCTGCAAACCAAGACCAGAATTAGCAAATTGCCCCAGGGATATAGAAAGTTAGATCATAATTTGATGTATGAAATGTTTTCCCACTTTCTCTAGAGTTTTAGTCTCTTCTATACTTATCCATTCTATACTTTTAGGTTTTCTAGTTGTTTACTATGAGAGCAATGGTCACAAACAATCAACTCTGTCCTACCCAAAATGGAAGTATTACTAGTCTCGTTCAATAGCAGATCCATTAGTACAAAAATCTACAAGTCACCAGAGAGTTCTCTGTCATAATGCTACACATGTAATCCATCATGAGGTCCTGTTGTATCTCCCTTCAGAACATATCCAGAATCAGGATACTTCTCATCACTTTTATCACTATCTCTGTGAGATGATCCATCAGCATCTTTGACTTGAGATAGTTCAATGATTTCCATTATCTCTCCATCATTATATGTCACCTGAAATATTGCAATAATCATTTACTTGAACTTCCTGCTTATATCCTGTCTCTAGTTATTTTAAAACTCCCTTGTAATATGTTTTTAAAAATAAGTAGATAATGGCATTATTTTGTTTAAAATATTCTAATCACTCCTCATTGTCCCTTGGCATATAATTCAAACCCCTCTAATGCCCTACAAGACTCTAGATGACCTGGTCCCCTCTTTAGTATCATCCTTTTCCAGTGCTTTCCACTTATTCTGGGAAGCCACATTGTTTGTTCTGATATTTATTGAACAAGCAGATACTGTTCTGATCTTTTCCTTGGGCAGTTACTGTTTCCTAGAGCATTATTCCCTCAGATATCTGCATTGTTAACCCCTCTACTTCATAAAAATTTCTTCTCAAATGTCACTTTTTGAAAAATTTTAATTGACAACATAATAACTGACATTTATGAAGTGTAGTGTGATATTTCAATACATGTATACAATTGTACGAATTATGATTGTGATCTTATGAAGATCAATTCTGGATAATTAGGGTAATTAGCATATGCAATCACTCCAAACATTCATGATTTCTTTGTGCTGGGAATAGTCCAAAACTTCTCTTCTAGCTATTGTCAAATACATACAAAATAACAACTATCTATAGTCATCCAACTATGCTATAGAACAGTAGAACTTATTCCTCCTACCTAACTGCATTTTGGTACCTGTTACACATCCTCTCCCTAGCCTCCCCAACTCCATATTGTTTCATAATAAAATAGGGTGATCCTGATCACTCTGTTTTCAATTACAATAGTAACACCTATTCTCTGTCTAGGCATGACTGATTCTCCTTATTCTGTAGTGCTTTCATGTTTCCCCATGGTTCTTCTCACTTTACAACCTATTTTATACTTTACTTTTTATTCATTGTTTATTTTATCTTTCACCATCCCTCTCTTATCATATAAGCTCCACAAGGGCAGAGGTTTTTGTTTTATTCATGGATGCATTCCAAACTCCTAGAATAGAAGCTGACACACAGGAGGCAATCTGTAAATATTTGACAAACTAATGATTGAAAAGATATGTCATACATAATTATTTGAGTCTTTTGAATAGCACTTTCTATTTCAAAACATAGAGCTAAATCTAATTTAGATGTGATCATCACAGATCTTGATATATTAATCTGATGACTCCTTACATAAGATACTATGCAATTCTTAGATTCAGAACCCTCAATTTTTATTCAACTTTGATTTTTCTAATTCATTTGAAAATGGAGTATCTACTCTCTTCTCTGTAAAATTTGCAGCTACTGAGAAATGCAATACTCTAAAAGATAAAGTCTCCAGAGTTTCTTCCTGTCTACCATTTACTTTTGAGAATTGGGCAGAGGTATATCAAGACGCAGGTAGAATGGACACTTCAAAAATATAATCACGTTCTCTGAGAGATCTTGTTCTTAGGAAGCTGTTCCTGTGCTATATACCAGCTCTGTTGTGCTCTCTCCTCTGGGCAATTTAGAAAACAGATGTTGATGCTTCAATCTGACAGAGAAATTAGTCTAAAATGGTGAAGTAAGGTTTGTTGCTAGGAAATAAAACTCTGTTAAGGGCTGTCTCATCCTGCTGATCAGTTAGTACTACTTGACTTCACTCTCCTGACCCACTCCCATAACATCTAAAATAAAAGGCCTCAGCTTAAGAAACTTCAAGGGAACAAAATGGGATATATTAAGTTTCTTTTGGAAAAAGATTAGGTGAACAACTGAGAAAATACATACAGCTTCCAAACTTCAGTGGACAGGCATGCACATCCATGGGAAAATCTTCCAAATGCATAGGACACTCAGCATGAATTGTTAATCTAAAAGAAAGAAAGAAAGAAAGACAGAAAATGAAATAATGCTAAATTACATGTTATTCACCATGAAGCTCAGATCCCACTTGACAGCAATTGTACAGTCTTAAGAATGACAGGAAATTTTGCTTATTTAGGTTCTCTGAATCTTTATAAACATATAAGATGAATTAAATGAACTAGATAGGTCTCAGATCAATATTCAGTATTCATATTTTTAGATCAGATCTGAACCCCACCTTAGAAAAACAAATGAAATTTATCTGGTCAAATAGTACTTCCTTAGCCACCTTCCAAGAAGACTGGAAATACCAGGTTCTGACTCATTTGCTCCTGACCACAGCTTAATTATTTCTGAAATAATTCTCAGCAGGCTATTATGTGAGTTATCCAATTTAAAGATTGCACTTGAGAAGATAATGTGTAGAAAGAATATATTTTACCCTGATAATGAACAGAAAGATCCAAAAAAGGATTCTGCTGATCACAGGAACTGTTATGGCTTTTTTGAGAGATGACTCTTGCAGAACACACACACACACACACACACACACACACACACTTCATAAAAAATAAACACAAAGGTAATAGAGGACATCAGAATCATCAGATCCTCAGATCCTTAGGGATCAAGTCTGAAGAGTTCATGCTTTTTCAACAGAAGCAATAGATAGGAGATTATGCATGGATTTCTCAGTGGAAATCTGGATGGGGTATGATTTGCCATGTTCATATACTCTCTCTTACATTAGTCTGTCTAAATAATCTATGCCAAAGTTTCCCTCTGAATTATTTCTCATTTTTTGAGGCTCAACTTCGTTTGGCCTAGATTGTAGTCTCTTAGGTAGAAATGAGACCTACACAGTAACTGTTCAGAGTTCTTTGAAATGTAGTCTTATGAAGTACTTCTATATAGCTCCTGGTTATATCTAACCCAATTGCTGCCATCCCCCTGAAGTTCTAATAAGTTGAGAAGCTAGTTGTCAATTTTGGTGTTATTCATTTTCCCAGTAGCTTCTTCCCTTAGGCACCCTGCTTATAATTTTTCAGGATCCAAATACACCTAGGGGCCAGAATCTATGCCTAATGAGTCATCAGTATATCAAATAGAGAGAAATATGCCTCACTTTTAGGAATTATCAAAGTTGAGGCAACAAATTTACAAAGGCCTGTAGAAATCCTATGTGCAGAATCTCCATTTCTCATCCTCAATCCCAATGTACAGTAACAGTGTAAGGTAGGAGGATCCCAGCAAGAGGATATCCTCCAGGCCACTGCTATCTGACAATGTTTATCTTTGGTTGATGACAGTGAGATAGCAGAAGATATTTATTGTGAAATTATAGATATTCATATGTTTAGGAAGGCAAAGAAATTTAATGTATAATTATTATGATTATAATGATCATTGCTAATAACCCATGAGATGTTCACAGAATGTTACAGCTTCTAAAGCATATTCACATTCAGATAATCTTACTCAAGTCTGTCCCTAATATTTGTGACATAGTTATCCTAGTTGCCTGGAAGAAGGATGCTATTTATTCCATTTTTTTCCCTTTGGTACCTCTGTGAAGTAAATATTGGAGGTATTATTATTATTCCTATTTCAGAGACAAGAATCCACAGAGTTAAATTGAGTTACTCAGAATCATACAACCAGAGGACAGGAGTGCCAATACAGAGATTGTTTTGCATTAGTTATCTTCTATTTACCCGAAGGTAAATCCCTCCTTGGGAATCTTTTAGTCACACCAGAGATGCTGTGATTATCTATGGTTATATCTAACTAAACATTTCCTGTGTTTAAGGTAGTTACAGGAAAATACCAAGAAAATAAGGAAGAATCAGAGCAATAACCACTACTGCACAATGATTACTGTATAAGAGGTGAACAATAATAATTACATATGCAGTTAACTCATTAACATAGAACAGGAGTTGGTGCACTATCTGGGTACAGTCAGAATGCTTCCTGGTGCAGAAAAAGCTAGAAGGGATCTTAAAATTAAAGTAAATAGCAAAGTGGAAGGAGGGAGGGAGGACAAGAAGGGAATACTGTATGACACCAGAGGTCAGAGAGCATTAGGATCTAAGAAGAACCAATGGAAAGAACACAGCATTATTTGGCTTGTGAAGTCCCCTGCCCCCACAAACATCTACTTTTTCTTCTCTGTGCTTAGGTGGGATGAGAGAGAAGTGGATGAAAAGGAAGATAGGAAAGTTATTACAAATCTGCTCCTAATCAGAAATCACTACCTTTGCATCCTGTCTTTATAATCTATTTGTTGTGGTCTTATTCTCCACATCCCAAGGACTGCTGGTACACATGAAGTAATTTCCCCTTGACATTACTCATAAGAGGCAGTATCTTGGAAATAATAATGTAAGTGGAGAGCAAGAACACAATTTTCTTTATTAAACCCTCATGGAATCTTTTCAGTATCCAACACAAGGAACAGGTTTCTCAGTGAAATATTTCTCTTATGTCATGAAATCACCTTTATGCCTGAAGAATAAAGGTCAAATTGGTGGGATTTTACAGACTGGTGGAAGAACTGAACTTTTGTTCAAGATACATAGGAAATTTTGTAAATATCCAAGAGATTAGTTAGAGCTGAAAGCATACTTGTCTTTTAGTTCCAACCTCTTGCTGCTTAGAGATGGACATATTGAATATTAGAGATGGGTAAGTATTTACTGAAGGGTACACAGTTGGTTTCTGCCTTCCAACCTGGAGCTGTTGCTAATGCACATATGGGTACATATGCTTTAGATATCCTGCTTTGAGCAATATCTATTATTGTTCTGATCATTTGTGAAGTTGTTTCACATCTATCAGCCATGTTTAGAGATGCTGACCAGTTAGCTATGAAGAGGTGGCTGACTGGAAAGCAATTGAGCTTGATTTTCTTATAACTTCATCCCAGAGGAATAAGTGCTTCAGTTTTGTCATTTATCCAGATAATGACAATATTTAAGTTTTTCTTCCAAATAGTCCATTCCATAATCTATGTAAAATACTTTTCTTTCCTAGTCTGATCAAGTCAATGATACAAAATTTAGACGTTCAGAATGATAACATTCACAATAAATGGAAATCATCATTTAATTTATGGGATTATGAACTGGAGGATGATACCTACAGAGTGATTGATGAGGGAGATTATTTATTACTGCAGTCTCATTAAAAGATGAAAGGGATATGAACTAAGATATTAGCAGTAGACATAGAAACAGATACTAAAAACATTTAGAAGGAAAAATAAGAAAGACTTTGTGGTTAGGTATTAGACTATTCTCAACTTTAGTGTCCTAAACAGTTAAACAAAACCCATTTACCCATTCACTATTTATTCAATAACTTCATGGATGTCCAGGATATCAGGAAGCATAAGTCACTTGGCTGTAGTTCTTTCAACATGCCAAGTTCTCTGACATCATGGCTTTTGCATTGACTATGCTCTTGGCCCAGAATGTTCTTCTTGCAAATGCCTGGATGACTAATCCTCACACTTTTTTTCAAGTCTATTTCTAATTACTCCTTCTAAATGGGGCCTTCTCTGTATTCTCAGTTTTCTACCCACCCCGTGGATAGTAAACATTGCTATGCTCGTTCGTTCGTTCGTTCTTTCTTTCTTTCTTTCTTTCTTTCTTTCTTTCTTTCTTTCTTTCTTTTGCAACTAACCTACAACATACTCTATAATTTTTTTATTCATCATAAGGTTAGGTACTTTTATCTTTTTTTTCTGTTTGACATGTGCCAAGAACCTAGCGCATTATAGGTATTCAAGGAACACACACTGAATGAATGAATTACTGAGTAACTTATTTCTTAAAGACCTATTTGTACTAAAAGCTTGCAAAGAGTAGGTATGCATTGGGCAAGAAAGCATTTGGGGATTCTTGGGGTTCCACAAAAAAACAGTATCTTGATGTGATTAATTACCAGAATAATATCTGGGCATATAGCTTCTTTTATACAATTTTGGAACTACAAGAGCTTTATATAAAGCATCTAGTTTTACCCCCCCCCATATATTTTATGTATGAGAAAACAGAGGGAAGGTAACTTGCCCAGAATAATCCAACATCTCTGGGAAAGAGCTGGTTGAAAGTTTCTTGACTCACTGGTGTATTCAACAAATATTTATTGGTTACCTACTATGCATCACGATATTGTCCTAAACAATGTAATTATATTAGGGAACTTATGAAGATTGTCCACTTAGGGCATAAATCTGAGTGGAGTAAAATGAAATAAACAATATAAATAAGTAAATTGTAGAGCATATTAAAAGGTGATATGCCCCAGGGAGAAAAATAAGTATGGGTAGAGAGTATATGGAGGTATTGATTTGACTAATATTTTAGGATAATTCTGGCAGCTGTGTAGAGAATAAATTGAAACAGGACAAGGACTCAAGCAGAGAGATGAAATCTAACAGTGATCACGACTCAAACCTCTTGAAAATCTTGAGATAGAAGGCAACTTTCTCAACTGATAAAAGGCGTTTGAAAAAAAAAACAAAAAACCTTATATCTAGCAGCACCACACTCAATACTAAAGGACTGTTACTTATTTGTTCCATGAGGCAAGAATGTCTGTTCTCTGTTATTTACCACATTATTAGAGATTTTAGTCACTCCAAAAAGAAAACCAACAGGACATGACTATTATAAATATGGAGTTATTTTTAAGGAGATGAGTAAAATATTCTAGGTTAGATAGATATCGGTGATGTTTGCACAACTGCAATTATGTTATAAATCATTTAATTGTGCACTTTAAAGAAAGGGTGCATTTTCTGACATATATATAATATTTCAGAAAAGCTGGCTAAAATTAGACAAGCAAAGAAATATAAGACAAAAATTGGAAAGCAAAAATCTAAACTGTCTTTGTTTGCAGGTGATATGTTCAGACATTCTGTGCATATATATTTAGAAGATCTAAAGCCATTAAGATGTCAATTCTCACCAAATTGCTCTATAAATTCAAAATT